CTGTGAGATGACCAGAAGGGCTTCTCTGTCCTGCACCTGAGCAAGCCAGAGCTCCCCAAAACTCCCCCTGCAACGTGCTGCAAATGGGGCAATACTGGGGGCTGGGGGGGTCTGCTAAACTGGAGCTTGGTGCTGGTTTTCTTGCCTTTCCTCTGCTTCTGCTCATGTTCCTTGGGCCATGGCTGCACCGAGCGATAAGGGCTCTTTGTCTGATGCTGAAGGTGCTTGTCAGCCTCGGCGAGATAAAAGGCCAAAGACATTTATAACTGTGTAATTAACCAGCTCCTGTGCTTTCTGGGCAGCACTGGCTGCTGGGCAGGTGGTTTTGCCTCCATGGGGGGGCAACGCAGGGAGCTGCTCCAGCATGGCCCTGTGGTGGGACAACTGGGAGCTCTGTTCCCTGGGTGGCAGAGGTGAAGGAGCCCCTTTTGTGCCATTAATTAATACCAACTAATTATACAGGCATGTAACAACTCATTTCTGGGCAATTACTTTCCTTATTTTAATTTTTTTCCACTCCACACAAGGCATCAAGTGAGATGTGCTCAGACCTGCCAGGGCAGACAGAAGGGCTCTGGTTCCTGGGAGGCCCACCAGCCTTTCCTGGGGCTGCTCTCTCTGCCAGAGGCCACACATCACCTACAGCAGCTCAGCTCCGTGTGACACCATCTCAGTAATTACTGGCTTGATTTCCACAGCACAGAGCAGCCCCTGGGGGAGCTGCCCCTGCCCAGGCACCAGGGCTAAACCTTTGCCATCGCTGCTGGCCCCAAGGGGGGGGCTGTGTCTGCCCCCCCACCCCCATGTCCTCCAATTCCCCCATTACTTGTGCTGGGGGTAATTGGGGTCCCTAGAAAGGGGGGTGTCCCACGGCCCCAGCCAAGCCTGTGCTAGGAAGGTGACAGAGGAGGGACATCACACATCACCACCTGAGCAGAGGAGGCACCAGGGTAGGTCACTGGGCAAAAATACATCTGCTTGGCTGTGACTTGCAATCCACTATTCATAGCCCTGCTTCAGAGCTCTAATTATTTCTTTATAGCATCAATACAGCCCTGGCCAGGCTCCTAGGGAAGGCTGGCTGAATTAATTGGGCAACAGAAGGCAAATAGGCTACACCCATTTGAAGCATCCATTCTGCTCCTCTCTCCCAGCAGCTGCTGCTGCTGCCAGGACACCAGGACGAGGGGCTTGTTCATGGGTCTGACACCAAGGAACCTGACAAAAGAAATGTGAACTAGTGTAAGAGTCACACTGAATTATTTCTAACTAGTATTTTTTGTGCAGTGTCTGCATTTAACATGCTGGCCATACACTGCTTTCATTTACTCAAACAATTAATTACATGCCTTGAGCACAGTAACTGCAGCATTTTCCTCTGCTCAGCAGCATCCCCACCCTGACACAGCAGCACGTGTCTGTGACTGACAACCCCAGGCTGGCAGTGATCCCGAGGTGCTGGGGAGGGATCTCTGCTGCTCAGGACACTGGGATGGACCTGGAAGCCCACACCTCACAGGTTGTACTCATTAACTCGTATACTCCTTAACTCACGTAGTCATTAACCCCCTAACAAGGTGTCAATAGCAAAGAACCACCATCCCCAGCTCCACCCTTGCTGCCAGGGCTGCAGCAGGAGCAAAGTCTCTCATCCCAGCACATGAGCTATTTAATACAACAATGCAGCATTTCACACCTCCCTGCTGTGAAAACCATCTCCTGCTGACACCTGGTACCCTGGTTAAAGTGGTGCCTGAAATGACCCACACAGACAAGCTGGCCAGGAGTGGTAGTTTTTACTTAAGTAGTTAGGTATCTCATTATTGCAATCTTTAAACATAGTTGAATAAATACAAAATTAACAAAAATGTCAATAGATCTTTATTACCATTTTCATTATTATTACTATAATTATTTATTCCAGACCAACAGTGATTCCCTGGAGATGTCTGACTACAGTTCGAACATGAAACGCACAGTGTCCCTTATGATCGTATATTACATTTGTTTCAAGCTTATAAAAATATATATTGACTTCTCAAGTATATATTTACAGTATATAACACATGGTTAATGAATATCAAAAAGCATCTGGAGAAGAACCAACTTGATCCCAGTTTTGGTCTCCTGCTGGGGGGCCAAGCCCCGTGTTCTGCCCGCGGTGCTGTGTCCGGCTGCCCCCCCAGTGCTGCCTCCAGCTCTGAAGACACAAGATTGGAAATGGGGTCTGCATTGTTTAATCTGCTCATTCTACTATCTTCAGTGCTGACAAGAAGCTCAATCAAAACTGTTTACTCTTGCAACAAGCTAAGCTAGAATGCACACTTCCATTATGCACTGTTTCTTTTCTTTCTTGAAGGAGAGTCCTTGTACCTGCTGAGATAGAGAACAGTCCCACCCACAGAACCATGGAGTCTGAAAGAAACAGCTTCCTCTGAGTCCCCCACCAGAGTAACTCAGAAAAATAATTGTCCTGGTTTGTGTAATTAAACACTGAGTTTCTTTTGGGAACAGTAAGAGACTCAGAGGAAGAAATGATGCCTTCAATTCTAATTGTCCTACAGAATGTAGCAGAAGAGCCCAGTTCAGTGGGGGAAACACTAAAGAAATGATTGAAAGATTGGCAGAGGGCCTCGTTTGTCTTGGAGTGTGTTGGCACAGAGCAAATATATCACACAAGCAACAGGCAGAGGAGGCTGTGGGGCTGCCACCCTGGGCAGAGCTCTGGGGCAGTGGGAGAGCAGGGACCTGCCCCCATGGCCACTGCCCAGGACCCTCTGCTCCCTCCATCAGTCACCTCCCAGCAAAGGAGGCTGCTGGAAATCTCAGAAGGCGGGACAAGAGCTGGGAAGGGGGGTGGAGAGGCTCTAGAATCAAGTTGGTTCAAGTCCCTGCCTAGAGAACTAGAATATTCTTTCTCTATAGATAAAATGTAAACATAAAGAGCATACAAATTGCACTTGATCCTTGGGATCTGGCATTTCCACCAAATTAAGGTTTTTGTTCACCATTATCACTCTCTGGGTGTGAAATAGCAGGATGGAAAGTGACCAGCTGGACTGGGCAAGGGCCTGACTTAGACAAATTATTTCCATTAAAAAACTAACCAAGTGACATTGGGGAATGTTGTTTAAACTGCTGAAGTGGCAGAAAGGAGAGAGCTTGTTTATCCCAGAGAGCAGTGAACTCCCAGGAACGCACCCAGCCCTCACCTGCTGCCGGCCAGGACACCCAGCAGCACCTCTGGCCGTGCAGAGCAGCTGCTCTGCTAGACCCAAGGAGAAGGAAGATGCCCAGGCAAGGCAGGGCAGGGCCAGCCCCACCAGGGCTGCCTCAGTCACCACAGATCCCCATTCCCCCCCAAGAAGGCTCACAGGAAGGTCTGACTGGAACAAATTTGTGTGAGCATCTCCCACAGCATGCATTCCTTCTGTAAATCTTTGCCTTTCATCATTAACAATTCACTTGCAAGACTCATAGATGATAATAAAAGGCCTACAAAATTCTGTACAAGGCTGCAAAGACCCATTTAATTAACTAACTTCAAGGAAATTTGTATTATTAAGCAGATGCTATTTATCAGGGATCAAGCCTGCACCAGTGGGAGCTGCCAGTGCTGGCAGGCAGCACGGAAGTGCTGATGTGCCTGTTTTGCCTGGATTGTATGGCACAATATCAGGGATTCCATGGATGCAACAGTCAGCTCTGCCCAAGCCCAGCACCCTGCAGGGATGTGTGGTCACTTGGACACAGCCCCCCACAGACGTGGATGCTGGGATGTGCTGGCACTGCAAGCATGGACCTCTGCCCTGTGGCGGAAAACTGGCACCCATGGCTCTCTTCACCAAAGCTTTTCATTTCTTCTCCTGAAATTGTCATGTCAAGAGAGCTTTAGAAACATTCAGCAGCGTTTGCTCTGCACTTCAGTGGAGAGTATTTGTTTTTGTTCACCAACTGTGGTGTCAAGACTCAGAGAAGTAACTCTTGGAGCGGAAGGGACCCGGCTGGGAAAGTTTCCTTTCAGCAGAGCAGATGGGGAAAGTCACCTTCCAGAAGTTGGGCCCTGGGTGTGAGCTGAGCTCTGGTCTCTAAAAATAAAAGCAATCAAAGCTCCTTGTGGGGTTGCTAGAACATGTCAGCTTGTATAAAAAGCTGGGTGGGAGCTGCCAGTGCTGGCAGGCAGCACGGAAGTGCTGATGTGCCTGTTTTGCCTGGATTGTATGGCACAATATCAGGGATTCCATGGATGCAACAGTCAGCTCTGCCCAAGCCCAGCACCCTGCAGGGATGTGTGGTCACTTGGACACAGCCCCCCACAGACGTGGATGCTGGGATGTGCTGGCACTGCAAGCATGGACCTCTGCCCTGTGGCGGAAAACTGGCACCCATGGCTCTCTTCACCAAAGCTTTTCATTTCTTCTCCTGAAATTGTCATGTCAAGAGAGCTTTAGAAACATTCAGCAGCGTTTGCTCTGCACTTCAGTGGAGAGTATTTGTTTTTGTTCACCAACTGTGGTGTCAAGACTCAGAGAAGTAACTCTTGGAGCGGAAGGGACCCGGCTGGGAAAGTTTCCTTTCAGCAGAGCAGATGGGGAAAGTCACCTTCCAGAAGTTGGGCCCTGGGTGTGAGCTGAGCTCTGGTCTCTAAAAATAAAAGCAATCAAAGCTCCTTGTGGGGTTGCTAGAACATGTCAGCTTGTATAAAAAGCTGGATGGATTTCACCAGTAGGATGCTAGGTATGAAAATGTTGTCAGCTCTGGATTAAGACAGTGCACAAATGTCCATCGACCCTGTTAACCTCATAACCACAGTAGTTACAGTTTGACTCATCTTACAAAACAGTGCTAGGGAGAGCCCTGCTGGCCATGCTCTCCTACCATGAGGAATGACTGGGTTGGCAGCAGCCCAGCGAGTCCCACATCCCCCCTGAAACCAGCAGGTTCCAGGTTCAGGCCACTGGCTGTGTCCCCTCCGGGAGCACGGGTCGGTCGCGGCTGCTTCACACCTGCACCCCTCGGCCGTGCATGTGGATCACCTGGGCCCGGAGGGTCTGGATCCCGCTCAGGATGGTCTTCTGGTGCTCCACCAGCATGATGCCCAGGCTGAGGACATCTCTGCAAAACGAACCCTGTGTCAGCCATGAAAAACAAGCCCCAGCAGTAGTGCCCCCACCCCAACCGCTCCAGGGCACGGGCGGCACGGGTTCAGGTATCAGCCCCGTGCAAACCTGACAGAGTAAGAAATCCCCAGCTTGTCCCAGGCACAACACACACAACCCAGCCCCAGCGAGCTCTTAGGGTTGTGCTTTGGAGGATGTGTCCTCTTGTGACACCTGACTGTAGCTGCAAAGCAGAGCTCGCTCATGCTGCACCCAGCGACTCGAGGCTGACACGAGGAAACCAGTTCACTTACTGGGCTGTCATCCTGGCCACCGACTCCAGGCAGCAGTAGCCCGCAGCAGTGAAGTTGTCTTTGTACCTGCCCATTTCTATCGCCTCCAGCCACTCGCCCACAGAGCTGAAAGATGGGAAGGCTGAGAAGGTTCTCTCGGCCAGAGGGATGGACGTGCTGCGGGACCTGCAACAGCACGTGGAGGTGAGGAGGGAGCAGGGCCTGGCATGGCCCAGCTGGGAACTGCCAGCAGCAGAACCACGGGCACTCACCTGCTGCAGGTGGAGCTGGGGCACTGCGGGGGCTCCGGGCTCTGCACCATCTTGCTCAGGATGTTGAGGATGTGTGAGAACTTGGGTCTCTGGCTGCGATCCTTCTGCCAGCAGTCGAGCATCAGCTGGTGCAGGGACGGCTGGCAGTTCCCCGGGGCGGGCAGGCGGAACCCGTCCTCCACGGCCTTCATCACCTGCAGCGCACAGAAGGGCACAGGGGAGGGCTCAGGTGCTGCGGTGCTGAGCACAGGCAAACCCGGGGCAAAGCCCCCTCCTCAGGCCCGCCCGGGGAGCAGCAGCAGCTCCTCCGCACACCGCGGAGCCCCCGCACACCATGAGCCGCGGCAACGTCGTCGTCTGCCGCGCGGCCGCCGGTGACTCACGTCCTGGTTGGACATGTCCCAGTAGGGTCTCTCGCCATAGGACATGACTTCCCACATGACGATGCCGAAGCTCCAGACGTCGCTGGCCGGGCTGAAGTGGTGATACTGGATGGCTTCAGGGGCCGACCACAGCACCAGGCTCTTCCCACGCTGGACGGGCAGGACAGGAGATGAGCTCACGCAGACGTGGGGCACAACCCCTCCTCGTGCCCTGCTGCAGGGCAGACACCGAGCAAGCCCACGTGCCATGCACAGGTTTAGTACTAAGAGAAAACTTTTGCCTCAATTTGTTCTAAAATGGCCGAGTGTGAGCCCTGAAATATTAATGGGAGAGGAGAATGCCTCTGGGAAGAGCTGATGGCATTTTATACATTAATATTTAATGAAAATCGTTCCAGAGCTGCCAAACACAAAGTCCTCCACCCTGACTTGCTCTCCTGTAATTAGCAATCCTTGCCTCGGTGTCTGCAGAGCCCTCTGGATGCATCAGGGGAAGGTGGTGACAGGCACCGCAGCTAATTGTAATTAACAGCAGGGAGACCTTGACCCCAGAGCCACAGCCCTGCTACTCCACGGGAGGAGAAGCCAGGGCTCCTGCTGGGCTCTGCATCCCCTGGCTCAGCGGCTGCTCCACGCCTGGGGCAGCTCTGCTCCTGCTCTGCCACGGCTGAGCTGCAGCTCTGCAGGAAATGCTCCAGCACGGTGAGACTGTGCTTTGCCAGGGACTCCTCAGGACAAGCTCACCAACCCTGCCTCCCTGCACCTCATGACAATGGATGAGTTTTCCTCAGCTCTTTCTGTCACTGCCCTGCTCAGAGCTGGCAGATGACAGCAGCTCCTGGGAGAGTGGCTGAACCCTGCAAACAGGCTCACCCCCCAGGATGCCCATAGCCTGTGTTGGGACATAGGCACTGGGTCCCTGCACACTCCCTGCAAACAGTAAGTGATAATTTGATCGAGGAATGAGTGCTCTTTAAAACATTAATGCCTGATAATGTGCTGCATTACCACCCCCAGCAGATCTGGGCGGCCATGGAGTGCCAAATGAAACGTGTCTTGCTGCTCCAGGGCTCCAGATGCATCGGTGCATCCTCCAGTGAAACACACCAAAGTGGTGTGTGAAGGAAGCAGGGAGGGAGGAACCAGCTCCAGCAAGGGGCTGGGGACCTGGGGGGTCCGAGGGACCCAGAGCTGCCTGCCCAGCTTTGGGAAGGAGCAGCTCCAGCCCAAGAGCTCCCAGGCAGCTTCGCCAAGCATGTGCAGGCACTCGGGAGCTGTGCTGGCTAGCAGAGCTGACGAGGCACAAGTGTGAATCAAGCAGGACTTAAATTCTTAATTGAAAATCATGAATTTCATTATAAGTGATGAAACGGACATAATGAACCCTGAGGCTGCCAGAGCTGCCTCTCTGCCAGTTTGCACAGGCACACAGAGGGCTGCAGCCAGAGCAGAGCAGTGCCAGTGAGATCCACCTCTGCAGGGTTTTTGTAGCTGTTCTGTCAGCACTCTGCTTTTGGGGAATGTTGACAATAGCACATGGAAATGCAGCTTACCATGGTGGAGAAGATGGTCTCCATCTTATCTTCTTGTGGCTGCCTGAAACCAGTTATTTTGCAAGCCAAGCTGCTGCTCACAAGGACTTTGTGGGCAGCAAGACTTTTGTGTATGTAACCCATCTCTGCCAGGTACTTCATACCAGAGGCAATCCCCTGCAACATGCAAACAAGCTGGGTGGCTGTAAACTGTCCCTCATGTTTCTGCAGAAAAAGAGGAGGGGAAGCCCCAGGTGAGCAATGCCCAGCTCATGGAGCATCGCCAGCAGAACCCGTGCAGGGGACAGACTCCAGCAGTTACACCAGCTCTGCTTACCCTGAGGAAAGAGTCCAGCACGCCGTTCCCCATGAACTCCATCACTATCATCATGGTGCTTCCTGCAGGGACAGACAAGGAGCACTGTGTGAGTAGGAATACTTCCTTACCTATCAAAAAAGCTAGTTAAAATCAGCACACGTGCTCACATTTCTTTGGATTTACACGAATATCCATTTAACTACAGCTCTCGCAGCCTAGTTCAGCAAACACACTCCCATGAGAGCCAGGAGCAGTCAGAGTCATCTGTTTCACTGACAGAACCTCACTTCAATTTGCTTTTATTAAGAGTGCACAGTTTTGCTGCTAAGCCAGTCCTACTACCTGGATTTATTAATCTAGCTGTAAGCATTTTATTAATCATCTGAATGCTAAAATAGCGAATACAGGAGGAAACACCCGATTCCCAGAGGGCAACAGAACTGCATCCCCAGCACCAGCTCAGGCACGTGCCTGCACCGGCGCCTGGCTGGCCCGCACCTCCGGTGACCCTGTGCCCCTGGTGATGTCCCCTGTGCCCCTGGTGTGTCCCCTGTACCTCTGGTGATGACTCCCTCCAGGCGGATGATGTTGGGGTGGTCAAACTGGCCCATGGTGCAGGCCTCTGCCAGGAAGGAGCGCTGCTGCTTCTCGGAGCACCCGGCCCGCAGCGTCTGGACGGCCACGGGCAGCTCCCGCTTGCTGGGCAGCTTCAGGCAGCCCCGGCAGATTTCTCCAAACTCTCCTGTGCAGCAGAGAAAGGAGTTAAACAGTGTCTATGGCCATGGCAGCATGTCCCTCACAGCTTCCCTCTGGGGGATATTTTCTTTGCTTTTGGAACCATGAAGTGCACTCCTCTAGCACAAGTGACGTCTCTTGCTTCTTAGACAAGCAAGATCTTCCCCCTGTTAACCAGAGGATTTGCCAACCCCTGACCTCAAGAGTCCTGCCTGGCTGCCCATTCCCCCGCACAGTCTGTTTCACCCCCTTCCCCCTTTGCTGAGCACAAACAACCTCCACACATGATTAGCATCAGCATGTGACCCTGTAGATGTGTGATAATGCAACAGGATTTCTCCCTCTTCCTACACCTCTAAGCCATTCTCTCCACGCTCTGCTCAAGCGCATATTGCACTTCTTCTCAGGAAAAGAGAACTAACCCCCAGACACTGAGCTGGGCTCCCTGGGCCAGGCTGGTCTGTTCCCAGCTCAGCACATGAAGGATCTGCTCCTCACGGAATGGAGCACGGCAGGGCCTGGAGGGTGTCCACAGGCCTGGAGGCAGAGCTTTACACAGCCTAACAGCAGGAGCTACCAAATCCATAATGAAAAAGGCCAATATTTGCTTTACAGTAAAAAACGTGTAGCTATGAAAAGCTTTAGTGATTTGAAATGTTAAGTCAGCAGTGAGACATGCACTCCCAAATTCCTTATGCTTAAATGTATATTCCTGACAGATTTTTCTTGATTTTTCAAACTCCAATTCACTTCTGAAGGGTATGTGGGAGCAGCTACAAAGATAACCTCCTCCGCTCCTCAGTGTCCTCTTCCACGCTGTCCTTTAAGGTGGTGGGCAAGCCCTTCCCTGTTCCCTTCCTCCACTTTGTCTTTTTCTGCAGCTGAATTTATCTTTAGGAAATGAAACTACAAAGAGTAATCGTGTTTCCCGTGTTCTGGCATGCACATAGTGATTAAAGCTCTAGGGCTCAGTGAGGGGATTTTAATTTGCTTTTAAGTTTTAGGCAGTGAAGTTGATGAAAATCAATAAATCATTAGGTTCACATATTTATAAATAGTTTTCATGCTGCTGTCAAACTGCCCAGATGCAGATAATTGCTGATGGTTTCTGGTTGGCGCCTCTCTCACTGTTCTTAGTGCCTGAGAAAAACCAACAGGAATGTGAGCTCGAGCTCTGGATGGACACAGGCACGGCCACCGCCACAGAGGAACTTGCCTGTCCCAATGATCCTCTCAATTTTTATGTTAGCATTATCCAGCTCTTTGGCAAAGAGGTGCACAGCCTGCATGGGGTCTTCACAAGTGTCGGGGTCAATATATGTCCTCCTGGTTGGTATTTTAACTGCAGGGAAGCAGGAAAGGCAGAAAGGGAACATGAGCAAGGCTTGGCAGAGCTCCTGTCCACCCATCCCAGGAAGCACTCTCCCAGGTTATCCATCTGCTGGCAGGACTAACTTGCCACCTTCTTATAAGCAAAATAAAAAGACTTGGCTTTAAAGTTGCTAGGAAAATTCTTGTGGCATTAAATGAACCTAATTGCTCTGCTCCACTGCCACAACCCCTAGTTAGAGGAGAGCAGCTCCTTCATTCCAGTGCAGTTCCCTCCCAAACTGAGCCTGTCTGCCTCCAGTGCCAATCCTCAAGTATCCAAAACATCTCCGTTACCAACACTTCTAGGAGAGATAATTATAGCAGTGAATAACAGCCATGTTCAGGTCCTCTCGATTAGCAGCACAGGCAGCAAAACACCTCCCACAGGTGCCACCATCTGCTGCACAGCAAGTGGCCCTGCAGGAGCACGGTCAGGAGAGCCATGGGAGGGATGGCCCATGGACAGGAGTCCCTGCAAAGCTCTGGGAAGAAACAGCCTCCTGCTTGCTGGGTCTTCCTCAAAACCCTAATTCACACCTCCTGAAAACAACCAGCCCAAAGAACGACTGAAGCACATCAGCTCTGCTGATCTCCTCCTCCCCCCAGGCAAGGCAAGGAAGACAATGGACATTTTGCACAAGCAGCTCAACCCATCCAGGAACAGACCCTGGGCAGAGCCTGATTTCTCCAGGAAGGAGTCAGACCATGCACAGCTCCCCTCCCACCTGGGCTCTATTCACTGTCCCAGGACAGGGCAGCTGCTGCCCCACTCACCCCCACGGAAACCTTCAGCAAACCCCCAAGGGCAGCTCAGCAGCATGAGCCCCTCCAAAGCCCAGTTAAACAGCCGAGGCACATCCCAGTGGCACCGGGGGGTCTGCTGCTTCCAAAATGCTCCGGGGAGCAGGAGAGCACTTGTGTGCTTCACGGGCTTACGCCAGGAATCAAATAAACTCCTCAATCCTAACATCTGAATTTCCTTTGACAACTGCTGTCTGTAAAATTATTGCTGCTCAATAATCAGGAGTAGCCCCAGAAAACAAAGCTGTATTTTCATGTAGTTGCTTGTGAAAAGCTGACAGAGAAACTCATCCACCTCGTGAGGGCCGAGCGTGTCCCCATCCCTTCCACACAGTGACCTGCGTGCGGGAAGGACGGACACGAGCTCATGAAGCTGTCAAGCCTGCTGTCCCCAGAGAGTCTTGCTGTGCTGAGCTCAGGGATAACACGGGATGACAACACTTCAAAAGCAAGGACTCAGGGCTGCTTTGCCGGGAGCTGGGTTATTAATAGCAGTAAAAGCAGGCATCCCCACACAGCCAAGCCAGCCACGGTTTCACTTACAGTGGAAGAACTGCTCCTCATCCCCATCCTGGCTGGCTTTGCTGTACCCACACTGTCTGCAAGGAGATGGAAGACACACAGTTACGGGGCAGCAGCCCCCGGGGGGCACAGACAGCCCAGCCCTGTGGCCGAGCAGCCTGCCCTGCACCCCCAGGCCCTGCTCCTCCAGCATCACCGCCTCGGCCGTGCCCGGCTCTGCTCACCTCCTCCAGACCATCCCGCCGATCACCACAGACACCAGCACTGTCAGCCCCACGATGGTCCCCACCGTGACCAGGAGGACGGGGCTCTGCTCGCTGGAGGCCACGGTCACTGCGGGAGGGAGGGAAGCAGAGCGGGTCAGCCCCAGGGCTGGCCTCCCTCCTCCAGCTGTGCCCGGGCACAACCCACCCACAGCTCCAGGCTACTTTTCACCATCCTTGCAACAATTCACATTCTGATTCAGTTTTAAGAGCTCGAGCTGGTGCAATCAGACCAATGAGCAGGGCAGTGTTGTGGGCACAGATGGGGAACCCCAGCACTGCCACACCAAGCTCCTGGTTTTGTCAGCACTGAGGAAAGGATCCTGTTTATCAGAGGGACATATTAAAATGTATGGCTTACAAATCGCTTTCCTTCCTCACATTAATCCCTTCCCTTCCTGCTTTTGCAAACGAGTATTAGAATGCTACACTCTATATAAATTTTTTATTGGCTTCAATTCATTCTGAAAATGTCTTCTGTGTGGCAAATGGATGCAATTTAAAGCCCTGTTAAACACAATCTGTGAGAGTTGTACTGAGCCAGCCATCTCAGGGCTTTCATTTCTAGCCAGGGTGTGTTGTTCAGCTGAAGCCCCACCAGCTCTCCAAGCCGTCTTGTAGTCAGAGAAATGAGATGCTTCTGGACCGTAGTTACGAACAGAAACCATGAAGAGGAAAAGCCCCAGCAAGTAACACTGCTGCTGGACAACCCTGTTCGGCCAAGGGGTGAACAAACCAAGTGCCTCACGAGGCAGGACGACGGTGGGGGAAACAGTTACCTCCTCTCTGGGGCACGAGTCCAAGGCCAGATGGATCTCCAGGCTGGCCTTGCCTCCTCTGCAGCAGCCTGCACAGCCATCCCACCCATCCCTGCAGTGCCTGTAAGCTGCGCAGCTCCACAGACCTGGACCTGGTCTGCAGATGATGGCAGGATTGTGCCCTTGGTGCTTACGCCAGCAGGGACTGACTCGGTCCCTTCCAGCACCAATCTGGTGGCCCCACAGAAGGGACCTGGTGACATCTGTCCCAGCATCAACATCACACCAAGACAAAAACCACCCCCTCAGTCACTCCAGTGTACTCACAAGAGCAGGTGAAGGTGCTGAGCCCAGCCAACACTTACGCTCTGCCAGCGTCTCCACTTCAATACTGGGACTGTAGTTCCCATAGTCAGGCGAGGAAGATGCCCGGATTTGGAAAACATAGAGAGTTCCAGGCTTCAGGTTATTGACTGTCACGGCTGTTGAGGTGGTTTTCACAGTTGAGTAACTTTGATCTCTCTGATCCTGAGAAATAAGGAGACATCCGAGCTGGAGCTGGCCTGACAGCTGCACATGGAGCAGTCACAGTACAGCTGTATTGTCACCAGGATCGTCTATCTAAAAGAAAACCTTCAACAGATACAATGTGTTTGCTAGATGTCTCATGAATAGAAATTACACAGAAAGGCCACATGAAATGGCAGATGGAGCCAGATGTGTGCTATGAAGCCGGGTGGAGGGGAGCAGCTGTGCCAGCGTGCTTGGATCCTCTCCTGCCTGTGCCAGGGCTTGACTCCTGGCACCATCCAGCCATTCCTGCCCCCCTGCCATGGCCATTCCAGCCCTGAGGTGAATCCGTGTGTGCCAGCACCTGCTGAGTAACCAAAGCTGGCAGGTGGGTTTGCCAACAGTCCTGTTCCCTGGGACTTTTTTCACCTATGGATCCCTCTGCTTCAACAAAGGGAGAGCACAACAGGAAGCCCTTGAACCTCCACAGTCAAAGTACATCTTTAAAAGCAAAGATTAGGAACTGGGCTGATTCTTATGTCAGCATCAAGAGCCTCAATTCAATAAGTAAATGCTAAACTACAGTGTGAATTCCCCTCCCAAGCAGGACCTTTCCTCATTTCACATACCCTGAGTATCTTGTTGCTGCAGCCCATTTGCACAGGAATTACTGTCTCAGGCTTCAGCGTTCACTCTCACCCACAGATTCCTCTTTTCAAACCTATCAGATGCTGAAAATCACATTAATATGAATCAGCTTCAAGGTAGCTTATTTCTAAATACAGAGCACCAACATGTCAACTGCACAGTTTGTTTGACATGTAATCAGTTTCATAATGAGCCTGAGCACAAGCAGATAAGGTAATTTGTGGAACTCTGTCATAAACTGCATTTATTTTGATCTAGAGCACTGTCCCTGCTCTCTGCCCATCAGTATTTCTTCTAAAATCCTCAAGTCACTGCACCTGTCAAATAGCAGCTATTTTTAACATTAAGAGGCTGTCATAAAAATGTCTGCCTGTGTCCCATCCTAGGTGGAAGACCACTCGTAGCTCATAGAAGTCACAGGTTTGGTGGCCCTCAGTTCTAAACCAGTGAGGAGCAACAAGGTCCAACACCTTCCCAGAGAGCAGTCTATTAATATAAGTGTCATCTCATCAAAGATTTAGGAACTCTGTATGGTTTAGCAGTCCCTGTCTAGCTGGCTAATGGCAAGGACCAAAACCTCAGATTTCTAAATGGAAAAAGCCATTCAATGCAATAAAAAAAAGAAAAAAGAAAGAAGAACAACAAATGAAAAGTTTTGGCTTTACTCTTTCACCCAGGGAGATGTGAACATTAGGGCTGGATCTTGGAGGAGTCAGCCCGTCCCCAGAGCCAGTCTGTCCCCTTACCTTCTCATAGTACTTGACCTCATACTCGGTGCCGTTGGCCGCTGGGAAGCCTGGCTCCTGCCACGACAAGGAGATGCTCTTCTGCTCAACTTTATCTGTGCGGATGTCGGTGATGGGAGTCGGTGCTGAAAAAGCAGAAGGGAGAGCAGCTCGTGACTGTGGAGCTGCAGGGGCACAGCACCTCCTGCTCCTGCCCTCCCTGCAGACACCAGGACCCGAATCCCCCCACCCTGGCCCTGCAGCCTGCCCGGTCTGGGCCAGGCCCTGGGGACACAGCCAGTGACACTGTGCACCACCAGGCTTTGGTCTGAACAGCCAAGTGTGTGCAACCAGATCACAGGTTACCAGGAATTTATCTCTATCCTCTTACTCATCTGGGCTGCAAGCCCCTTGTTCTGCTTTGAGAGAAAATTAGGATTGATTAGAAAAACTGACCTCCCCAGTGGCTGAAGACCCTAAGTAAGGTCTTCACAGCTCTCCTGGGGCAGTGCCATGAGTTGTCCTGGTCAGAGTCTCCTCTCTGACTGAAAAGAGAATGGGAATGGCAGAAAAGCCTCCTGCAACCATGGCTTGGGGCTGTCCAGCCTGCCTGAAGATGGATGGCATGGTCCTGGCACACAGAATGATGGTCCCTGGATTGTCCCAGTAACCACCAGAACACACCAGTGAGTAGGAGCTGCAGTGACTGTTCACCCTTTACACCACCAGCCCTGCAGCAGACATGGGGAATTGGCTGTTTCTAGGTTTGTCCCACTTCTCCATTAAATCAGGACATTTGCAGGACCCTGACGATACCACACAGACTCCTCTGGAGAGGAACAAGTCCCTGGAAAGTAAACTTAAGTATCTGTGAAATTTTCTATTTATTACTTAGCTCATTAATCTTTGCTGAAGAAAAAAGTCTTCCTGATGTTTTATTCATGGTGATTTGCTGCTCGATTCCAAGTCCCTTCAGCTTCTGTTGAAAGAGCTAAAGGACCCGGGGGGCATCCAGGAGCCCCCGCACACGCAGCCGTGCAGCTGCCTGCCTGCCTGCCACCTGGAAACAGCTCTCCAAGTAAATACACTGGATCCAGAGCCCAACTTCAGGGGGATACTGAACTGTCCAGGTGTAAAGAAGGGGGAGCAGCACGAAGCAGGGCAGCGAGGTTATCAGTGCTCCCATCAGCCAGGCAGGACAGGACCCCTGGGCAGCTGCACCAGGAACTTGCCAGGCAGGGGGAACAGCCAACACCAGCAGCACCTACCTGTGGTGCAGGGACCCCTCTGCCAGACCCCTCACCCTGCCAGGCAGCCCCATGCCCCCTCTGGCACCTCAGACACCAGTAATGACTACGACCCAGTCTGCACCAGTTAGGCACACTTTTGCTCCAAACCCTGCAAATTGTTCCTTATTTCCACTTCATCAGAGCCAGGCTTAGGCCAGCACAGGCTGTAACATGGCATCTGCTGTTGGGGAGCAGTAGTAGGAATGATTTTCACATGTAAGAAGTGTTTCAACAAGATTAAAAATACTAAGAAGAAATATAAAATGCTAAGAAGAAATATTCTCAACCTCCTTCCTCAGTCTTGCACAAACAGTGACCTCTGTGCACACACAACCACCCTCAGGCACAAGCAGCCCTCAGTGCTGGGGCAGGGGCGTCAGGGTAACCCCCCCACGAGCCACCGAGTGTTCCACAAAACAGCAGGTGCTGCAGGCTGAGGACAACCCAACGCCTGCCTTGGGGTTTGCTTCTGCAAACTACGTTAAGTGCTCCTTGCTGTTCTACACGATTCCCATCAATTAAATATCACACAGATGCCTTCCTGTATCTCTGAGTCTAGCAAACGGATGGAAGAAACCAGAACAAGTGGCCCTGACTTAAAGTCATCAAGAAAAAATCTCACTCACTTACAGACAGGCTGTAGAGCAGAACCCACTGCACGTGCCAGAAAAGCAGGCACTGGTCTCAAGTGTGTTTAAAAGGCAGTACAGAAAATCACACAGACTATAAAGCATTTCACACTGGGGAAAAAAAAATGTGTTTCCCATTAATATTTTAAGCTTCCCTAACATTGCCTCTATTCTGGAAAAGCAAACATTAAATTATTCACCACTCTGCCTGATTTTATAAACTCCAGTCTGTCATATGAGGGTTTACTCCTCTTAATTAACCAGTACACCAGCAGAAAAGCCATAAAACAAACACGTCCCTCCACTGAACAACCCACAGCACCCCAAACCTGACAGAAGCCATAGGGAGGGACAACGGCACTTACAGAGGGTGTGGAACCAGGCAGAGCCCCCAGCACTCCCCCCCCAGCTCTGCAGAGCTGGGCACCACAGGAAGACCCCAACGTGTCCCCATGCTGTCCCTTGCTCCCCGAGGGGCTGCTTCAGCAGCAGGCACACACAAAGCAGGCAACTTCAGGGGACCTAATTCAGCACAAACTACTACTCCAGCCTCAGAAAGAAGAACACATTCCAGCACTGGCTGCATTATTAATCTGCAACAGATTTAAAAGCCCTTTCAGACAGGAGCTGATCCCTGCGGGGAATATAAATGACATTGTCCCAGAGTGTACATCTACATAGCTAATGCAGCTCTGCTCCTGCAGGTAAACAGCTCCCTTCTCTCCTCAAATACTTTTATTTGGTCCCACGCTGGGGCCAGATTAGAAAACCCACAGTATTAATTTTGCCTCCTGCAGACTAAATAGCATCTTTTCCTTTCCCCTGCAAATACAATGAACAACAGTTAATTTCCTCCTCAACTGCTGAAGGAGACAGGCAGTGCAAGGCTACACTGCACTACATTTAGAGGAGCAGAGATCTGACAGTTAAATAGAGTCTTGGTTCTTTAGTTTTGGCTCTGAATCTGAGTATCTACAGCCAGAGCTTCACTGCTGCTGCAAATGACTTCCCGAGAGCATCACATCACAGCTGCGGAGAAAGTCACCACTGCTTCAGCATTCCCAAGGTCTCCCTTCCTCCTGATCTCTGGCCCCATCCGGTACTTCTGCCAGGGGCTTCCATGATAAGGGGCTGCAGGGCTCAGGACTGACTGGCTGGAGATGGCACGCCCTGAGGAACAGCTCTGCAAGCCGTCTGTGCCAGCTCCACGTCCTGCCCACACCACATCCCCTCCGTGCTCTGCCCTCCTCACAGTGGGGGCTCCTGCCCAGAGGGGTGTTACAGCCCCCCAGACTGAGGAGCTGCCTCTGCAGGAGGTGACCCTCTCCTGCTCCTTGCCAACAGGTGCAGGTGGATCATCACTGTCACCTCTTGCCCACAGAGCTGGGCCACCCGGGCACCTGCGGACGGAGCCGCTCCAGCCCAGCGCTGCCTCAGGGCACCTTCGGTAGCAAAAAATTTAAGTGTTTCAGGAAACTTCTTGAGCCTCAGCTGCTCAGCTAATTCTGATCCACCATCTGCATCCGGAGACTCGGCAGCTCAACAAGAGAGACTGATTTTGAACAGATTACCAGATTAATTATGCTATATCCTTTATGTGAATGTCAGTTCCTCCAAGAGTATGTGTTGAGTAAGGGGTTATGATTTCCACTTATCCAGAAGAAAAGCTCTATTAGACAGATGAAGGTCCAGGGCACAGGTTGATACCATGGACTTGTTGCTTCACTCCTTGCAGAGGATGGGGCCCTTCCTGCCCTTACCTGGCCTGGCCCCCAGCTCAGACCTGAAGCTCCGGGTGAGGAGGCAGCTCCTGAGCACAGGTCCCTCTGCCCAACACCAGGCAGAAGCTGTTGGAGGGACACCTCGTTATCAAACCTTGTTGAGCTCACCCCTCCCAAGCTTGTTTCTTGCTCAGGAATAGCCCAGGAGACAGAAGATCTGCCCAGAGCTAAATCCATCCTTGAACAGCAAAGATCCTAATGAGCAATGACACGTCCACTGAAGAGCAGTCTGCAGCACAGCATCCACCCAACAGATTCACAGAAACGATTGTATGAAGGAAGAGAAAGCAACAACACACGCAAAAACATTTGATCTAGTGGTGGGAAAATTATTTATAACAAGATCAAAGTTTAATTTCTTCAGATGAAATTGTTGGCCAATTCCTGCCAAGAGGTATGTGAGGATCATCTGTCTCCATTAACTGTGGCTTGGCAAAGGTTTTCGTGCAAATTAATAATGCACCCACAGAGGAACGGGCAAGGACACAAGAAGCCAGGGCTGGTTTTCCTTAGGCACAGCTGACAACTGAGGAGGGAGCAAACCCCTCGGGCAGCCAGGACCCATGTGGCCAGGCTGGGTGCTTGCTGTCCCACACAAGGGAACACACAAGACAAGCAAGTGCAAGGGGACTCTCACAGTCAGAAATTGTGCCACAGATCAGCATGGAAGAGAGATTAAACGATTTTTTTTGTTTTGTTTCCCTTGGATGGTCAATGTTTGAATTACCTATTTTAAGGAGGGTTTTTTTTATGAATGGGCTGAGAACGTTGCTGCTTTGCAGGTGCTTTTTTGGGACTTGTAAATTCAAATTGCAACTGGATCGCAGACCAGACCTGTCCTTTCAGAGCCCAGGCTGCCCCACGCTGGCCGTGAGCCAGCCCCACGGGAGACAGCAGCCCCACGGGAGACAACAGC